CCTGTCCAGAAAAACACTGATCTTCAAAACTACAAACATTCACTATTCTAATCCCTCAGTGACGGTGGACATCGGCGTTCTGCTTGTTTAATTAAATGAATACTGAAACGTTGGTTTGTTTGCACAGTAAAGCCTGAAGTTTCTTCATATTTTGTAAAGTGGTTGAGGTTTTTTGTTTACAGCAGCCATCAAAAAGATCTTAACATCACAAGGATGAGCTGCATTCAATGAAAACTTGTTTTCAAAGTCCACATTTAGTTACATTTTTATAATTAAAGCACTAATTATCACCCTCTGCCAAACCCCTGTGTATCTGTTACCAAAACGATCAACAGAGGATGCAATCTCCTCTGTGGTCCACACTGCACTCAACCACCTGGAGCAGAAAAACTCTTACGTCCGTATGCTCTTTGTGGACTTCACATCCGCCTTCAACACCATGATCCCCCAAGCCCTGATGGACAAACTATCCACACTAGGACTAAGCCCCTCCATCTGCAACTGGGTACTAGACTTTTTAACAAACAGACCACAGTTAGTGAGGATCCACAGCCTCTCCTCCTCCACCATGACCCTCAGCACTGGCTCTCCTCAGGGATGTGTGTTGAGCCCCCTCCTGTTTACTCTGCTCACATATGATTGTGCAGCTACCCATCCAGGCTGTCACATTGTAAAGTTTGCAGATGATACAGCGGTGGTGGGATGCATCACAAACAATGATGAGTCCAGCTACAGGCAGGAGGTGGAACACCTGGAGAGCTGGTGCAGAGAGAATAACCTTCACATCAATGTGAAGAAGACAAAGGAGATGATTGTGGACTTCAGAAGGAACAAAAACATCTACACCCCCCTGAACATAAGAGGATCTGCGGTGGAAGTGGTCTCCAGCTACAAGTACTTGGGTGTACACATGAATGACAACCTCAGCTGGAGCAACAACACCACCAGCCTGATCAAGAAAGCTCATCAGAGACTCTACTTCCTCAGACGGCTGAGGCGAGCTGGTCTGGGAAGCTCAGTCCTCACCTCCTTCTACAGGTGTGCAGTGGAGAGCATCCTGTGCTCCAGCATCAATGTGTGGCATGGAGGCTGCACAGCTGCAGAAAGGAAAGCTTTGCAGAGAGTGGTGAAGGCTGCACAGAAATCTGTTGGAATCAGTCTCCCCACCATCACAGACATCTACACCTCCAGATGCAGGAAGAGGGCCACCTGCATCATGAAGGACCCCACCCACCCAGCACACACACTTTTTGCCCCACTCCCCTCAGGAAGGAGGTTAAGGAGCATTAAGTGTAGAACCACTAGACTGAGGAACAGCTTCTACCCTGAGGCTGTTAGACTCATGAATCTCTAACTAGAATAATCACTGTGAAAAACCATATCATGTTGCTGCTGATCTGTTTCAATGTTGATGTGTTCATGCGTGCACATCTGCTCACAGACTCATGTTCATGTTTGTGGTGATGTTCAATGTTTTATGTTATGAGTGCTTAGTGTATATTTAGTTG